AGGAAAACTTGCGTGTCTACCAAAAAGAAACCAAAAAAATACCAATCCACTCCTCCAGGATAACCAGAAATCACCCTCAGCAAAACCCAGTATCCTACAGACAGCTAAAGTGCTCTTAAGTACATGTTCATTGTAGGAATTCTCTTTTAGGAACAGAATTTGAGTAATGTTTGGCCACTGCACTGCATTGCCGCTCAGGCTCCATTCCCACAAGGAGCTGAACTGCTCTAACTGCTCACCATGACCAAATGAGAGACCTTGGCCACCTTCTCCTCCCCTCTGTTCCTCTCTTTCCCCTCAGCTTTTGCCCCTCTTCTGTTCCTTATTTGTCCTGACTTAGCAGTGATGACCCCTCAACAAGCATATTTGAATCCAACACAAGACGGGGGAAAATAAACACAAAACTCCCCAATAACACACATCCTAAGGCATAATAATCTCAAAATTTTGTGTGGAGTACATCCACATTCACTTGATAAATAGTTGCTTTTTCTAGAGACATCGTGTGTCTGATAGCAAGATAAAACACCTAGTTTATTTCATCTTTAATTTAGAGCCACCATAAAAAAATGACACTGAGCCCAACAGGTTCAAATTCCTCAACAGTATTGTAGTGCCCCAATCAAAAGCTTGTAAAAATAAATCCTGACACTGCTTCCAGACACTGAAAATCAGTTTTAGATACTGCAGCTCCATTGAAGTCAATATTCACCTACAACTGAGTGACAAAAAAGATATGTATAAATTCAAAGCAAGTCCGTTGCTTCAATGCTACTATTTAGTACCATAACTAAGATATTCAAACAATGCAATATTTACGTCAGAAATTCCATTTGGAAATGAAAAACACAGCACCACGTGATCAGTCAAAAATCCACCCAGGAATGACTTCTGTAAAATTGGGAATACAGACTTCAGAAGTTGTCTAGGAGAAGGAGTTTTATAGTTTAACAGTCACTTCATCACAGTGTGACACTTATCAGACAAGGTTAAATTTTAATACAATAAGCACAGGGAAGGCAGACAGAGAGCTTGATAAGCAGCGGGATGTCCAACAATTCATATGTGCAGTACTGATGGACAAGGAAAGTTAATCATTCAAATATTAAGAAAGGTTTCAGTCTAACCAGTTTCAGAGAGCTTGGCTAATTTTAAAATTCAATTTGGTTTCACAAAACATTTTCCCCCTTTTTTGCTATTATTGATGAGTATTTTGGCCTTACAGAGGAGTATGCTTGATAATACAAATTCTATACTATGAATGAAGAATAAGTTAGATCATGAAAATAACTCCAAGAGGCTTCTAATCTACACTATAACCCCTGTTTCCAACAAGAAAATATAAGAGTCTTTTGCATAAAAATTGTTATTTCTATCTAACAAACATACTATATTTAATGTATTTGAATTATTGTACAAAACCATGCCATTTACAGAGAAGGGATTAACAAACAGAGTAGTATCCTAAACTCAGATATAGGAAAATACAAGGATGGTCTTTCAGTTTTTGTGCACTTCTGACAGCAGAGACAGCATTGTTTAAAGTAAATAAACACATATATAAAAATCAGGTAGCCAGGTATTTCTGAAACTAGAAACTCTGTATTGGTAAATTCTTGTCTGTATGTCAGACAAGCTTCCAAGACTTTCATTCAAAAATTATAAGGTCTAAAAGCAGAAAACATTACTCAGTCAAATGTTTTCCCAGTTTTCCCAATTTGGTTCTGTCATCTCCCCAAGTCTTAATTCCACTATCTGCACTTCCCTGCTAGGGAATAATTTGACTCATTCTTTCAGCTAACAGTCTCATGCTGACATGCCACAAACAGATTTTTGTGTGTGCATCTGAGGAAGCAACCTGCTGAGTTCTGCTCTTCCCGAATTTGTTGGCGAAATGTCTCTTAAAATTAAAAAATAAAAATAAAAAAAAAATGCTGCTTGATAAGATAAATTTCTTTCTTCATGTTAAGTTCCTAAACATATATCACTAAGCCAAGAGTACCCAAATGGTACTTTAAACAGTTCTAATACACTGAAGCTAAATAAAAACTCCTACAAGTATGAGTTAGGAAATTACAAATAGATTTTTGTTGAAAAATGTACATTGTGTAAGCTTCTCTGAAACTAGTGTGGCTGTAAACAAAGAAAAAAACAAAAGATTAAAAAGCAGCAAGATTTAAAAAAAAAAAAACAAACAAGCAAATCAAAACAAAAAACCCCACCCAGAACATAGTATTTCCTGATGGTTTTAAGCATACTCAACTCCTAAAAGAACCTCTCAGTTGAACTGTGGGTGTGTAGGAGTTATAACAGAGGGAGTTACAGTGGATTTCCATCAACTGCTTTGGGAATTGTCCTGGGGTTTACTTCATTTTCCCAAAAGTTTTTCTTACAGAAAAACATCTAGACTATTTGGAAATATTTTAACAAATTACTCAGCCAAATACCAAAGTCCAATTCTCTTATTTAATTTCCCTGTCCATAGCTTTCAGAGGAAAAATAACCATATGCAGAGTGCAGAAGACAGAATCCACATTCTCCAATACTGCAGGTTAAAGAATCAGTCATGCACACGTTCGTAACTTTAAGCTGCAAAATCAGCACACAACAAGGACTGGGATATGGTCTAATGCTTCATTGGACTTCAGCACTAGTTATTTAGTTCCCACATTCTGTACTTTCTGATTGTGTATGTGGAAGTTACCAAACACCACTTTTGTTATTCACTGTTTTGTTAAAATCACATATTGTTCATCAATTCCTACTCTCCTCCACTCCCTTTCTTCCAACCTCCTCTCACATGGAAGGAACTCTGCCAGACAGCAGAGACACCCATCCAGAAATACTCAGGAGATGCTGCCTAGGGATGCCAGCACACACGGGTCCAGGTTACTGCAGGAAAAGAATGGAAAGAACTTCCAGTGCTACAAAGCTGAGAACCCATACACCGTTAGAAACACGTCCTTAGAGCTGGTAACAGCCCCTCGAGTCTGGAGTTGCTAGGTGTGTCAGAAGGCCTGGGAAAAGTTTAACAAATACAGACTTCAAGACTAAACACAGTTTGGTATGAAGAGAATCCTCTCCAGTGGTGTAAGAGATAAGACTGACAGACAGTCCCAGAGCCTCCGTGAGACTGTCACAAGAAACTTGTGCCTCTCTTGTTTCCAGGACAAAGCAGGGCTCCAAGGTGGTTACCATGCCCCTAAGTCCCTTTAACTAGAACAGAACACACTCCAGACCCGTGGCATTTCTCATTCAACTAAAAACAAAGAATCTGATTTTATCTAAATTAATTCCGGGGCTTCCCAGAATGAAGCAATTGTTTCTCTGAGTTACTCTATTTTAGTTAGTAGATTTATTCCCCCTAAAGCTATTTGGAAGCTGGATTGCAGCATCTCTCTGCTGTCATTGTTACAAAAGAATATCTAATCAGGCAGAGTACTGAAACCAGAGCAGCAGCATGACCATCTCAGCCGCAGGACAAAAGAGAAGAGATGTAAGATAGGCAGAAATACTATGTTGTAGAGCAGTTAAGAACAGAGCCCCTGGACAGCTTGTGCAGACTGGACAGTGCCAGTTTGAGACTGCATCATTACTGACCTCATATAACTTGTCTTATAATTAGGCTGCACAAGAAGTTAACAGGACATCTGTGTTCTTCAGGAACTATGACTGTCAGATGGCTTCAGGTTTCTAGTCCATAACTATGAGGCTATTGCCCAAATAACGTTTTACCCTAAAGATAGCATTAAAAAAGGAAACCCAGAAAACTTGCCTTTTATCTCCTTCTAAAAGTACAGTTTATAAAAAAAAAAATGCATCTTGCCTTATTTAAAAGTCTATAGTAAAAAGCAAACTTTTTTTAAAATAGATTATTTGATACCTTTAATAAGGCTGTGTTTGAATACCAGGTAAGAAATGAGAACAACATTGATATAAAGTCACAGCCCACAAAGAGACAGAGCAGCATTCAAGGGGTCTCACCTCAGGTCTCTGGCAGAATCACAAACACCTGCACATCATTCCTGATAAACATTTGTTCAACACATTCACAGAGACATCCATCACGGAAATTCTAAATATTACCCCATGAATATCATCTGTTCTTCCTTATATCCTTACCATGAGAAGTTTTTTTTAACATCAAACCTATGTTTCCCTTGCCTCAGTTTAAATCCATTTCTTCTTATCTGCTCCATCAGACAGAAAGAACAGCCTTCTCTTTAGCACTCTAAGTATCTGAAGATTATATCTGCCTCTGCCAGCAGTCTTCCAATGTTCAGAATAAAAAAACCTGAATTCATTCAAACTTCCCTCAGAGGTAAGATTTTAATTCTCTTGAGGGTAAAAATCACTGCTGGTCTCTGTTCCTTTCCAAAATGTCCACTACTTTCCATTGCAAAAACCCAGGTATTGCAGCCAAGATCTCAGTGGTGCTGAGCAGCAGGGAAGGTGTGCAGGCTGCAAACCTTCTTAGAGATGCCAATGGGAGTGAACTAAGGAGTGAACCACTCACAGGAGCACAACAGGAAACTTCAGCAGTTTCCAGCTCCAATCTCTAACCATGTAAATCTGGCAACAGAGTGGGGTTTGGGTCCAGCTTCTGTCCCAGACATTTCTGTCTCTGTAAGAGAATGAGCTACCTATGAGCAACCAGGTGGTTCTTTAATCACTCCCTGTCTGAGTGCTGCTCTCACTAACAAGAATTTTTTTTCCCATGTGTCACATGATGAAAATGCTCCACAGCTTGAGTAGGTATGTGTGACATACAACATTCCATGCAATTACTCAGCTAATTAACCATGATGAGCCTCTTTCAACCAAGTATCATTTATAAAAATATAAAAATATAAAAAAAAGAAACAACACCCCCCCACACACAAAACAGAAGGTACTTATTGCCAGAACTTTATTCAGATTGCATTGCTTTACATATCTTACTCTACTGTTTTCTACTGTTATCTTTAAGTATAAAAGATCTGAATAATTCTAATGCTTACCTTTCTGTGTTCAATTGAAGGTTGTGGGATCACAAACTGAAATCCCAACACTGCTAGGGAACTGAGAAGTCTGAAAAGGCAAACAGGGGAACAGAACATATAAATACCACTAATACAAACTGCACATCTACAACCTATTTACAGAGTTCATACTGCAAGAAAATATTAAGTACTTGATCACCATTACTAACCAAAGCAGACTCACTAAACTGTATGAAATATCCTTATGGCATTCTATTCACAGCAGACAGTACCAGGGCCATACATAGAAAGTGCATCAAGTAGACTCCATTGACAGTATTTCACATAACTCCATGTTAAAATTAAAATATTCTTGGCTGGCCATATTTCAACACTTCAGCATTCAGTGTCAAACTGACATACGCTTTGCAAGTTTTCTAAAGTGTTAAGTAAGAATTCACCCATCTGTGGACTAGGTCTGCTCCTAGCTCTGGCTCCTCGCTTTCCAGATGAACAGCCCACCTCCAACACATGGAAAACATGGAGAACTAAGTTCTTCCCTAACACTTGTGAACATTGAATAACCTAATGAGCACAGAAGGTGGAAAGCAGCAGACACAGCCCACCAGAGACCCAGGCTAAGCAGCCAAGCATCACCCCAGACACCACATCTTCAGTCTGAAAGGAGTCATAATGGGAACCAAGCCCAAAAAAACTCTATTCTGTCAAACCTCACCACCGTAATGACTCCTGTGAGCCTGTTACAAGTTAGGCACAGTTAGCTCAGTCTTTTGTTTGCTATAATTTGCAATGGGGACTGGTTTGCCCCCTTCTAATAAGCCACTCCATAAGAAAACATGGACAGATATGAGAAATAAGATCAAGGTATCTTTATTTCTACCAGAAATTTGACTTTTCAGTCCACAAAGAGTACGTTTCAGACCCTCTCTAAAGGGGAAAGCTGCTAATGATTTGCTGAATTTCAATGCAGAAGTAAAACTGATGGATTTGAACACAAAATACATCTGCAAACTAATGGACCAGACAAAATCCAGCTGTGTTTTCTACTCACAGCTCTTCCTTTGCTCCCTATACAGTAACTCTTTAAATATTTCTCATTGTTTCAGGTATTTTCTGAGACAGAACTTCTAAACAGAAAGGGTTTTTTTAATATCAAGCATTGCATTACCACCAATACAAATATTCTTCTACTAGGGAGAATGTTTTTCTTGAGTTTTCTGTTTGTCCTTGTCAACATACAGCAAAAGGAAGCAGTAGGCCAGTATTGATTGCACATGGCCTATCATCACCTCATCATCTATGGCCCTCTCTCTCAAAGCAATAAACCAATTAAAGGCAAGAAAAAGTCATTACTTCTTTACCACCATGTCAATTTAGGAGGGGGGAGGGAAGCAGCACTTTTAAAAGTATGTTAGAAGGAAGTATTATATTTCACAAAGCTATCATTTGTGATAAAACGAAATACTGAGGAGGTGGCTGAAATCAGAGCCAGCATAAGGCACTAAAAAGAAATCACTCAAAACATGCAGCTCAGAGCAGGTTCCAATCACACAGGGGTAGATGGAAGCCAAAGACACAAATTAATAAACTGATCTGCAAATCACAGTTGAAATAAAAGGAAGAAATAGAGTCAGAATTCAGACCTCCAAACTGCAAAATGACAGCATCAAGTCTGTCTTCAGCTGACTTGCATATCTCCTTTCCAACTGCTTGAGTGATCTCCTAACTCTTCTCAATGAAAAATGACAAGCATCTAAGTAGGTGGAGTGCAGCCTGTGACAGGCCCAGCCCACATCCTCTGCAAATTATATTTAACTTCCTTTTCAGAATCTCCCTACCCGTTCCCTGCTCCCTTATGACTTCTACTCCCTATAACCTCTCAGAGCTTGTGAAAGGAAGTTCAAACTTTGCAGAAGGAAATGAATGCTTTCATCCTCAACAGGACAGGATTTTTCTGATCAGTCTGACACACTACAGATTTCCATGTGTAAATTCTTCTGGAATCACGCACAAGGTTGTGAGTTCTAAACTGAATGAGAGCTGTAATCTTCAAAGCAAATTACTTACCAGATTAAAGTTCTCAGTTCTAAAACGTAAACTTGTAGTGTATGTGTGATTACTCCGTTCCAAGCCTCTCCTGACCTTTCTTTAAGGAATAACCCTCTATATGTTCTTGGCTCAAGGACAATAAAGCTACTTTTAAATTTGCTTCTGTATCTGCAGTTGGATCTGTCAGAAACAGTGGTATCAACCTACTATTCCAAACACAGGAAATTTGCCAGGAACATTTAAGCTATCCCGAGGTAAGACTCTAGCTTAAATCAGTGTGTGGCAATTTAATTCTTTTAATGTTATTTCCCCCAGCAGCTTGCTTTGGCTAACTTCTCCACACTAGGCTTTTTTATTTGTTATGCTTGACTAACCTTAGGCCTCTCAGGCTACAAGAATAGGCTTCTTCAATTTCAGTGGGTTTGATTCAGGTATTCTTACAATGCAAAAAAAGCCAAAAAGAACAAGTGCTCAAAATAAGGCAAAAATTTCCAAGTATCCACAAACAGCTGAGGTACCAACTGCAGCTGATGCATGGCTGTGTAACTCAGGCCTCTGTAAGAACCCTGTTAGTACAGCCCCTGCTCTCACAGTTAAGGCACTTTGGAGCCAAGTACCTGGTTTGAAGCAAAGTCAGGCTTTAAACTGTCATCTATCCAAGTTACAAAGAGCAAACTTGCTCATTTTCTTTTACTGGCAATACCAATTTCTGTTTAACTGGGGGAGGGGGGGGGCAAAAGGCACAAGCAAAACAATATTAGGTCTGTTGTAGGAGTAGCAAGAAAAAGTTTGCTAATTAGCACCTCATTTAGGGACACCTCATTTAGGGACACCTCATTTAGGGACACCTCATTTAGGGACACCTCATTTAGGGACACCTCATTTAGGGACACCTCTCAGAGTTCTTCCTTGTCACTGCAGTGAGTATTAGCTCTACATGAATGAAGCTGGAGGGTACCAAAACAGATCTCTCACCTGGCTGCTGCTCTTTAGTAGTTGTATTTTATGAAGGGATATAATGGCCAACTGTGGATTGTTCAGATACAAGTTACAGCATTTTAGCCAAGTGATTGGTACTGACTATTGCAGGATGGCTCTTGTCCCATATTCCCCATTTCCTCACAGGTCTGCAGAGCAGCCTGAGTCAGCTTGGGAGGAGCTATGCAGGGTGAAATTTAAACAGCAAAGTTAACACAGGTCATGTCAATAATATGCAACAGATCCATTCTGATGTGGCATTTGCCCTGGCATGTTAGGAGGGGGCCAAAATTGCAATTCAAGATTGCTGTCCCAAACTCACAAGAAGCAAGGTTATAGCAGAGGTGTTACTGACAGTGCCTCTATGCAAATGCAAGAGCATGGAGCTGTCATTCCTTGCAGGAGGCCAAATCTTGTTTGTGGAGCCAGTCTGCTCTGAATCTGCTTGCCCAACTACGGAACTGGCCAGACCAGCTTAGAAACAGCTGAATGTTTCCTTTGTTAGGAAAGCTGTTTGAAAGGTCTTTCCTATGTTTGCCCACTGGCAAACTGTTTCAGGAATGCATTAGACAAATCCCTGAATGAATTGCAGCGCAGGTACTAAAACATGTAAAACAGTAATTGAAGTGATTGTAGTTGTGCAGCCTCATCAAAAAAACAGGCACTTTCCATTAATATTTCCATTAATATTTGCTACTACATTGGCACTCACAAACAGATGTTCTAAGCATAAACAATCACTGAAAACTTTTTTCTTTCACTATCACCAAAGAATGCTATGTCTGGTATGCATATACTTGAGTATTTGATCCTGGGACAAGATTGTTATTTATCCTCCTATGACACAGAAAATTTAACACCAGAGAAAAAGACAACCAAATTGATATTTACTGCAGTGTCTTAGGAGAACATCAAATAAGATTTTAAATGTTTTATTGCATCACTTACCTCAAAGAAACTATTAAACTGTCTACCATGATCCTTTAATGGAAGGTACCTTGAAGTGAAAAATACCTCTTCACTGTGGTACAGCACAATGCTGATCACATACAAATCCTACAGAAAGAAAGGAGAAACACATTTAACACTGCTTATTCAGTACTTTCCAGGATATCTACAAAAATGTATACAGACTTACATTAGTCACCATTACTTCAATTCTTGGGACTTTACAGAAATTCAAACTGAAAATCCAGTCTATGTTACATGAATAAACTGTATGTACCCTATTTTTTGCAACAGGACCTCAACATTGCCAAAGTGCTTTGCAAAAAGACTATGGGATGCAAAATCTTGATCTGACTCCCAAGGATGCAAATCTGGCATTAAACTTACTTGCCTTTTTAATTCACATTCCTGATATGTCACTTGTATGACAATAAAACAAACAGCTTTACTTGCAGTTTTGCGTTAACAGAATTCATAGAACTGAAACTGGGTCACCAATTTTTAATGTACAGTAATATTATTAATACATCCCTATCTGTGAGCAATGCCAGGATGATTCTTCTGTGAGTGCTCATACAGTTTGCAGAAAAAAAAAAAAAAAAAAAAAAAACAGAAGATAAGCATTGTATCCTCTACTACAGATGGCAAACCCACCCATAATGAAATTAAATGCCTTGCCCACAGTGCCAGAGAAAATCTGGGATTAAACAGTGTTCTGAATATAAATTCAGCTGTTCCTGATTTCTAAGCACTATCATTTAATTGTCTGTAAATAAATTTTCAGACATATGGAAATTTCTCATTTTCATAAATTTGTAATCGGATATTGGACACCTTAAACACAACAGAACTTTCAGGCAGGAAAGAGATCCTTGTAGTAAGAAAATACAATATAAATCAGGAAGGCGGGGGGAGAGTGGCAAGGAGGGAGGAAAAGAGGAAAACACTAAAAAAACTGAACTTAAATCCATGTATTTCAGGACTTGGTCAACTGTTGTCTGTATCTTGCTATTATTTACAAGTGGTTACATATGCAGTGGAATGAACAGAAACAAGAGAACATTGCTGTTCACAGATAAAGAGCTCTCCATTTCTGTCAGACAGCCAGATAAAAATCTACCTAGAATAGGACAAGACTGACAAGAACTTCAGAAATGTGCAGTTAGATAAAGTACAGATCCAGCTGCTAAAAAAAGGTGGATTGTTTGCAGGTAACTGGACAAGTTAAATATTCCCTGCTCACTCCTAAAAATCTAAGAACAACAAATTCATTTTAGGAAATCACAAAATACTTGCAACAACTTCAAAAGAATATATTTTTTTTTAATTCTTGCATCTTTTAATGGAATTTAAATGGAATTTAAAAGTTGAAAACTTAGGAAAGTATCATGACCAAAGTTCTGTATGTAATAGGTCCGAGCTAAAGGGTGAAAGCACTAAGGCTCAGCTAAACTTCATCCTCTCCTTCTGCAGTTTCAAGGGTGTCAGCAGATCAAGGAGGCTTTCTCAAACTTATTCACCATTTTCACCACTTAACATTGTAAAATTGTTTTTTATAAGATGGGCAGCACTTCTAAAAACAGTTTTTTGGTCTAGATCTTCTGCAACACTTCACACCATTTGAGATTTTAGCACCTGGATTTAGTTAAAGCTCCATTCCCTTAAACGTTAGGCAAGTCCACACCTACAGCACCAACACGAGCCATTTAGACAGATTCCCTAAGATAGTACTTACTAACCTTTGGAACTGAGAAGGAAACAAATGTCTCACTGCTACAACCTGACTCTTAATGACCAGACATACTGATGCAATATTCTTTTATATCATTTTTTGAAAATGGAGGATCTGCCTGTAACATGGATTGTAACCAACATGGTTTCAAGTTCTTATCATCTTGGGATTTTTCCAGATGTGTTCTCTTTAGTATTTTTCACTCCACAATAAGCTTTATATCCAATATCCTTGTGTGGAGGGAATCTCAGCAGAACATTGCTACAGGATACAAATACACAGGAAAAGCAACCTGCAATCCCTTAATCCCTTTTGCAAATTGCACTTCATTTGAAAAGCAGAAAAGACACTATGATAGATCTGGTTTTGCAAAGATGTGGGAGAGGGACCTCCAGTGTTTCTGGAGATTGTTCTTAAAATGAGTACTTAAAGTCCATGGATATGTTTTCAATTTTTTCAGTTCATCTCTATCTTCATTGTCAATGGCAAGGCTGCATTACAAACTTAACCTTCAACTATATTTCAGTGCCTTTTTCCAAACACTTCTTACTGCAAATCATAGATGCATTTCTTTTGAAGGATCATTTGAAGTACATGGTGTAAAAACTGCTAAATATTTAAGTGACTTAAGAGCTTGTTTTCAAAATTACTTAAGTGCTTAGGTGCTTTCAGCCTGTTGAAAGGAATGTCATTTTGGCAGTGGCGTCTTTGATATGAAAACGTGCAAACATGACAGTCATTTTCCCTTCAAAAGATCCAGGGCAAAATGAACACCTGAAATGGCTACACAGTTAACACTGAGATTGAATAGTATGGATTTGGCAGGGAAATTTCTAGAAGCCTGATGAGGTGTCCTTGTGTTAGTCACTGCAGAAAGTCTTGGAATGTGAAAGTCATATTACCTTCCCACAAGGGGCTGAAAGCATTACAGAACCATCTAGCAAAAGACTTTCTAGTAACCCTCCTTACAGCAGGAGAGATCCTGATTTCTCAGCTGGAACAACCCACAGTCTAATACTTCACAGAGTCAGCAAGACTTTCTCCACTGCACTGAAATATTTCACATTCCAGCAGTCTTCCCTATTTCACCTCCAAGTGGGATGAAAAAACCTGTGAAACTGGGAAGGGGGAAAAAAAAACCCAAAACACAAAACCACACACTCCCCAGAAAACCCAAACCAACTAATCAAATGAACCAACCAACCCACCACACAGGATGGGAAAGAATTCAAACCTTCTCTCCAAAACAACCATGGGATGACAATCAAAGGGAGAAGTGTTTCACTGCATATAATAAAATGTGCATCAGGTCACAAAAAATGAGATTATTAAAAGGACCCTGCTTAAAGTCTCCTCCCCTTTCTCACCAAGTTGCCCACTTGTCACAAACTGCAGCCCTCTGACAGCAGGGCTCAGATAAATGCCTAGGTGACCTTAGAAAATAAAAATACTAATTAGTAATGTAGATTTTAAAAAGAGGTAGAGATGGATAATGGCAGTAACTCAAAAAAAATAATCTAGTGGGCTCATAGGCAATCAGAAATTTGCTGACATGGACAACAAGAAATTTCTCAAAGAGTTAAATGATGCAATACACAGAATTATCTGGAAAGACACCACAAACACTGTTATGACAGTCATGAAAAGAGAAAGAAAGTCCTCTGGGAAGCCAACAGTAACATTTCACCCTTTGTCTAATTATCTTCAAGAAACGTCTTCCTACAAAGAGTTTGAAATTTTGCAGAAAGCCTGTGAATTAGTTACCCCAACCTCTTAATTATCATGGGACTACTCACATGCAGGCTTTCATGTGACTATACCCTTTGTGTATTGTGAGGGGACAGTATTTCACTTCCATGAATTCCAATGTCATTTTAGCATCAACCCATACTTCCTGTAAGTCCTGTCAACTCACATATATCCATATACATCTGTGTATTAACTGTAACAGAAATTTCTTAGCCTGCATATGCACAGTACCTACTTAAACAATCTGAGACCCTCTGTTTTAACTCACAACAAGGATGTGAGATACGTCATGCAGAAACATACACTAATTCAACAAGTTTAAAGGGCTCTGAGCTTTTAGCCTATTTTACCTTTTTAATTTATATCAAGCCAACTTCAATTTCCTTCAATATTTATCATTCTGGTTAGATTATGTATCTTGCCAGCTACTGACAATGGCAACTTGAAGTGGCTACAAAACTTCAGCATTGTTCCAAAGTCACATTTCCACTGATGCGAAAAGCTCTCTTTTTGTAGTATTTTAGTGAGGAAAAAATAATAAAGAAAGAATATTTAGAAATATTTTTTAAAAAATATTACACCCTTTAAGGCTGTCTTTGAGTATGTTGCCTAGCACGTTGGTATAGTGTATCTGTTAGTTTAGCTGTTCACATCTATTAAATCATGTTCAGTGCAAGTCCTTTGGATTGCATCCAAAATTCATTACATTCACAAGATAAAGCTCTCACAGTGCACCAGGTTTATCTGGCTACATAATTTGTGCACACAGCCAGCAGCTTGAACTGCAGCAGTTGACACCTACTACCAGAGTTTTAATCTCTTCAAACGTTCAGTAACTCCACTAAAACATGCACTTGTCTCTAGAAGGTGCATAACAGAGAAATCAAGCACTATATCTGATGAAAAGTTCTGATGCTTACATGGAGCAAGCCTTTTATTAAAACAAAAATTGCAGGTTACCCCACCTAAGCCTGAAGGTGCCTTTCTGTTTCATTTTAAATTCTTTGAAAACTTCCAAGTTCTCCTTCTGGATGTGTCCAGAACTACTGCAGTCCAAGACAGCTCAGTGCATGTCTCCAGTCTAAGCTTGACTGAGCTCCAGAAGTTTTCGTTCCTTTGCCTAAAACACACATGATCCAGTAATTGTCCTCCAGGATGTACAGAGTGATGATCAAGCCTCTTATATTCACAAATGCAACTAGTTTTTTTGTAGCCTGTGGAATCATCTCCTTTGGCATCCTGGGCGGTGACTCACCTGGGATAGGGCTGTGACTCACTCTTCTCTGGGGCCTTGGGGCTGCACCTCACCCCCGGCTGATCTGGGCCAAGGTGCCACCAGCTCTGCAAAGCTCTGCTCCCATAGAGGAGCACCAAAGACCCCAAATAAAACAATAATTGTGAGATTCAGGGCCATCCTAGGGCAGTCTTGAAATTTTGGTCCTGTTCCTAGGGCTTAATTCAGCAAACATTCAGTAGTAAAACTGTGTTGCCTGATTATCTGGCATCCAATTCTATAACATTTCATTGCCCTCTGAAAATCTAGGACACAACACTGGTGAGATGCAACAGGGATCATGCACCCGATTTCCCCACATATCTATTCACAAAATGAAAATTTTGGCTTTTC